TGAATCTTGACTCAGCAGTGAATTTAAAGATTCAAACTAGATGAAACTTCTATACCAAAAATCAGAGTGCCTTTAATGTCTTCTGGATATTTCAATAATGACCATTATTCATTCCTGAGTTGCTAGCAAGGTAGGTCTTCACAGCAGTAAGTAATGTTTCTAGTCACCAGGTATGAAGGTCAACACAGTCTAACCGACAGAGTCTAAACAGATTTTAGTCTTTTTCGCGTCCACATATCTTATTGACAACTAAAAATTATTCATAGATTAGAGTGTTAGACTTGTGTTATTACCCTATTTACAGATTAAAGCGATGTGGTACGTAAGTCAGCAGCAAGTCAGATCTCTACCAAAATCTTTTGTTTGGTTTACAACCAGCCCGTTACTGAAAAAACATTAAGCTTGAGTTTATTAGAATGGTGGCGCGAAAAAGATAGCCGGGGTTGTCCAACTATTCAAGAATTTGGTTCAGCCTTTCTTCGCTTTCCAGAATCCATCTTAAACGATTTGCCATCTGCTTGATCACCTCTCCCTTAAAATCCTCTAGAAGATTTGAACCAGATACCCAATAGTGGGGGAGACTACCTCTCTCCATTTGAATCTGTAATGTCTTTAGAAAGTTGATGAAATGCTTCCCTAAAGCGTCTCTGCTGACCCAATCTAGGCCTCGTTTACGTTTCTTAATGTAGTGCAGAAAGGCTTTGTTCAAGTAGTAGGAATCCAGTGGTAAAGATGTCTGCGGTCTTTTCACCACGGTCTTCACGATTCGGAGAAGCTCGTGTCAGCAGCCATGGTCTTTACTATCCATCGACCGCAGAACTTGCTTCTCCTCCATCGAAAACGACTGCCTCCAAAAAAGCTCTGGATAAGACACAAATCTTTTCCCTTTCAGAGGCTTGGGTACATAACAATTACCCTCGACTTTGAAGCAAGGGACGAGATCAGCTGAAAAGCCTTTCCCAATGTCTAACTTGATAGCTGGTCCGTGGTTACGCAGAACTACACTTACTTCAGATAAGGGTGGTTTAGCGTGAATATAATTCACTGCTTGCTGAAAATGACTAAACCAAAGATCTCGGATGCGTTTGGGACTAATACATCCATTATCCCACGGCGCATACTTGCGTAGCACTGAGCTTTCTCTCGCCATGAGAAGGACAAACCCGGGCACTTCGGTTTCTATAATCTCAATTTCTTCCTTTTGCGTTTTCATTACTACCATGATATCCACTTCATCAGCGGCTTCAGTCTTCAGCCTCTCTAAAAAAACTGCCAGCATACTCCAGTTTTAATTTCTGAATCTTAGAGTTCTCCCGACAGTACATTATGATCATGTCATCAATGTATTCTGTGACCAACTTTCTGGCGCGGGTCATGTCTTCTTCAGAAATTTTAACGTATTTTACGGAGAAGTCACGAAGTTTCTTCGTCAACGCTGATGTGTCTTCTCTCCTCGCCTGGGTCGGTGCCATTATCTGATGCATTAGCGATGAAAACGCTATCAATTGTCGAAAAAGGATTAGCATTTAGTGCTCGTTACTCACACGAGCTGTGTCAGCATGCATATTAACTACAAAACCCAAATAACATACATACATACATACATACATACATACATACATACATGCATACATACATACATACTTCATTGCAACTCCCTACAAAGGCTTTTCAGTTACAAGGCAACATAAATATCATAATAAAATAACTAAATAAATGACCAAATAACAAAGGTAATGAATACACGATAGAGAATTAGTGAAATACGCTAAGAAAGAGGAAAATGCAATGGATTGGTTTTACTATTAACAAATTCATAGATTAATCAGAAAAAAGGCGTGGGAATTATTAACGAGATGAATGGATGAAACTTAGGCTTAATACTAGCATATCAGCTGCTTTAGATTCTAAGTAAAAAACTAAAGAAATTCTTGAAGATTTGAGGCCGGAAGTGGGAAGGAAATGCTGTTGATCATCATATGAGAAGGTGTGACAGATTTAACAACAGTGTTTACATTGTCCGCCAATTTCACTTGGAATGACTACTATCGAGTGACTTGCTTCATTACTTATGTTGCAATAATTTTGCTCTAGAAAACGGAGCGATCTTAAGACCGTTTCTGAATATATCTGTGCAGACTATAGCCCCTTTTTTTGAATATGCAAGATTTTAATCTCTTTTTCGCGTCCTAAATTCTACACTGTAGGTGCGTTGAAATATTTTGGCTATCGAACGAATTACATAATAGAAAAGGGCAGTATCAATGATTTATTACACTGAGTCTGGAAAACGTTCATTGATCTAGTTACAGCTGAGGAGGTGGGCTTTTTTCACCATGTCGATAACAAAGGGATATACACCCTTCTCACGCAGCGCCATCTTGGATTCCGTGCCGCACCAAATCTAGGCTGGACGGGCATAAACTTTGGGGAGTGTGTTAAGCTAGTGTTAAAGTAGGGATATCTGACAAGTAAGCATGGCCCACGATCATTGCTCTGTTAACTTCTGAACGAACGACAAGAAAAATCAGAGTGACAAAAATTTATCTTTTTTCAACTTTTCTTCAAATTCTTTATTGAGATCGAAATGGATTGCCGCTATGAAGCGAGATGAAGGTAAAATGAACATAAAGTGGACGACCCGCTGGCCCAGGTGAAAAAGCATAACGTTGCATATCTTGAAGAAGATTGGAGTCTGCTAGCATGGCAGCGTCGTTTCGTCTCCCCTCTATGAAAAAAAGAAGACAAATTTAAAACATTTTGATTAAAAGTTTTCGGGTCTTTTTCTGAAGGGTAATTTTATATTCCATTTCCCTTACCGATTGGTCCATACATATTTCCAATAATTCCATTTGGTAATGCCACGGATTGGAATTTTACACCGTGAACTCTTTTGTGACCATTGTAGACAATGCGCTGATTTTGGCCAGGCTTGCTTATTGGTCTAACTGTCCCATCAATAAAGCCAAAACAGTTATCCAAGGGGGATCCCTTAGCTGTTATGGCGTTACTGTATATTTCCAGCGAATGAGGGTTGAGGATGCTATCATTCCACTGCAAAATTCTGTGACTGTGTGCCTGGTAAATGTAGTCGATCATGTAGTTGTTTATCATGCACAACACTGGAACAGGCTTCCCAAAGCGAGTTATCATGTCTGAATATCGTCAAGGATAGCTATGTCTCTTTAGAAAAATGCAAAGAGCCTCCAATCCACTACAGATAATTCTTTGATAGCATTCCACTACCTCAGGAATCCCCAATACGTCAGCTAGAAATGGTAAGTCGTTCTTGTAGAAACGAAACTCTGAACGGCACTCGTCGTCTTCTAAATCATCGAAGTCAAAACCAGGATAAGAATTATACGGAAGATCGACATTATCGGACCTGTTTAAATCGTACAGGAGTAGAAGTTCCTCATCGTTTATCAAACCATCACTGTGGCTATTTCGAACTTCTTTCAAAGACATAATGAGCGGCGTTTTGTAATGGCTGCTTAACTGTTTAGAAATTCCCGCCACGACGGCGTTCTCTCCCCATGCGGGTTAAGGAGTCCCCGTCGCCGTCCCCGCTCTCGTTGCTTAAAGTCCCTACTGAAAGGGAAGGTGCGAATGCAGATGTGTGGCAACGTGGACACGGTACGAGTCATGGTTTCTAAAGCTTCATTTCATTACTTTTTTACTTCGTTGGAAGTTTTCGATTAACAAATCCGGGAATAAATAAAAGATAAGAACAATATAATATCTGTAAAAATGGTACGCCTGGCGTAAATCACACAACTGTTCGAACAAAATATTTCCATCTTCATCTAGACTCGAGGCGTCAACAACAAGCTGAACAACTCTTCAATACCGAAACTTACCTTCGATATCAAAGATGTAGCCTTCGCAGAATTTGCTGTCACCACAGGTCATTACTTTCTTTGGGACCTTTCCATCTTTCTCGAGCCCTGCTCAAAGAAAGTTGAATCAAATTAGGAAATATTCTTGAGAGATTTCGACCTCGTAACAGAAGCTACGCTCTCAGCCATAGTGAATTGTACAATGTACAGAAATTTGCCAAACACGCGAAACAGAATGCCCGTCCAGTCTCGATTTGGTGTGGCACGGAATCCAGGAGGGCGCTGCGTGAGAAGGGTCTATTGGATTTGACCCTTCGCTTGTATGCTGTAAGGCTTTGCGAAGTAATAAAGTAGATGTAGATGTAGAAAGGGAACGTAGAGGTTGTCCATTGGTGATGACCTAAGAATGCGATAGCAACGACTTAGGCATCCATTGATTACAAATATAATCGTTTGAGTATATGAGCGAATGCCCACCGTAAAACTACCACCATGATTCTCAAGTTACAACTTCTGGTATTTTTTTTTCCTTTTGGATGTTTATTAACCAAATAGAATCGACTTGCACCACAATACGAGAATCCGAGATTCTAACCCTAGGTGATGACAATGGCTACCTTCAGTTTCTGTCGAAGGGCAGTTGATTCGATACGCTATTCAAAACTTTTGAAACGGTGGCATACGGTTGTATCTGTACTTCAAATATTAGATTTTAAAGTGAACTGATCTTTTATTAGGAATCGACTGGTTCAAGATTCTTCGAACAATTAGATGGATAGAACCCATGGAACTGTGTACTGCCCCTTTTGACCGCAATAATATTTCTGTTTTGCGATAATCATGGCGTTACCAAAATTACAAGGCACTGTAACTCTGTTTAGCAAGACTGTAAATTGGCTTCACCCCTTGTAAGGGCATATCAAAGAACATGCATTCATAGCTTATCTGAATTTTTTGTTGCGGCGTACATCGCAAAGATATATAACGTACGAGAAAAGGGGAGACTTGCAAGTCAGTAGGCTCTGCGTGCCAGCCCAATAGAAAATTATGCAAATCAAACAGTACTTCCGGTTTTCTCAGAAAGACATGATTGTCGGGAAAATGATTTTTTCTCTATATGAAAGTAATTACAAAAGCACGAGATATATTCCTGCAGCAAGTTTCTTTAATACTTCTGATTACGAAACGTTACCACCAAAACAACTTGTTAAATTAGGTTGCTCAAGATGTTACTAATAAGGTTTTTTAAAGTAATAAACTGTTTGCTGTACTTTACACTACTAACGGACGCAGCTTTCTCTAATTCTTGTATCATTTTATTACGTTAAGTAAAAGACAAAATATATCACATTCACTTCACAAACGTTACAATGCTTTTTTCAAATATGATTATTACTTAGGTTAAAAACAACCATACACCTTGAAAAAAGGCTTCTACACGACTACACCTTTGAGAACTTTTCTTTAAACGATCATTGATAGCTCAATAACATGATAGATAGCATTGACAGTACGAAGGAGACAGACGCGACAGAGTCCTGAAGGCTATTCGAGTATCTTATTCAGCTTTACTTCTTTCGTCAGGATGTTTCTCAAACGATTCTCCATCAGCTGAACGGTCTGTTCTTTGAAATCATCCAGAACGTTGACATCACTCAACCAACGGTGGGGAAGGTTTCTGCTGGCCATACGAATCTGTAATTCCTTAAGAAATCCAATAAAATTTTCTCCTAACGCATCCTTCACCCAATTCAGGTCTCCCCTCTTAATGTAGTGCATGAAGGCGGTCTTCAAATGGTATGAATCTAACGGTAAAGATGTCACCGGCCTCTTGACTACGGTCTTCACGATTCGGAGGAGCTCGTGCTTACAGCCGCCTTGGTTTTCACTATCCATGTGCTTTAGGAGTCGCTTCTCCTCTGGTGAAAACGTCTTTCTCCAGAGAAGTTCATTTCGAGACACATATCGTTTCCCTTCAAAAGGCTTTGGCACATACCAGCTATCCCCGACATGAAAGCTAGGAACGAGATCAACTGATAATAGCATCTCTTCAGATCCTTTCTTGATTATGTCCACCTGGACTGCTGGTCCGTGGTTACGCACATCCAGACGAACCTCAGAGTGCGGTGGTTTCGGTTTAATCGCATTCACTGCCACGCGAACATGGCTTTGGAACCAGCTATTTCGAAGCCTCTTAGCATCAATGTAGCCTTCTGGACTCAAATACTTGTTGAACATGGGAGCATCTCTTGCTTTAAGACGGACGTACCCGGGCACTCGGGATGGGATTACCTCGATCCCTGAGTTTGGTGTTTTCAGTATAACCATGATATCGGCCTCGTCAGCAGCTTCAGTCTTCAAACCCTCGTAAAAGCTGCCGGTATACTCTAGTTCTAGATTCTTAATCTTGGAATTCTTTTCAATGTAGGCTATGATCTGGTCTTCAATGTAATCTTTGACCAACTTTTTAGCGCGAGTAGAGGTTTCTTCAGAAATCTTCACATATTTTTCCGAGAAGGCGCGAAGTTTCTTTGTTAAAGAAGAAGTGTCTAGTGCCATGACCTGATGTACAAAAAAAAAACATATTTACGTAAACCGAATATGAAAATTGGAATAAGAAAAATGGAAAACGATATTGACGGCCTCTAAGAAAATTGTATCTAGTACTCTGAGAATGTGAGCTGAGGCAGAGTGTTGTGTTGCAGCTTCTACATAAGAATACTTCTACTACTAAGAAGAATCGCATCCTTAAATAAAATCTCGCATCTTTTATTGGTTAACGAAACGAGGTATTTAGCGAGAAATTGCGAGTTGAAAACGAGGCTATGTGATATTGTTTCGCATCTACGTAAACATAACAATTTTAAGTAATACTGTTTCCTTTTTTTTTCTCACTTTTACTCAATTGTGCGATTCAAGGAAAATCCATTACTTCACTCGTGAATTCCGCATTAAGACTAGGTTTACACTAGAGGAAATTGTTCCGGATTCGTGATGAATCCGAAACGTTTTAGTACCGGATTGACAAAATAATGATAATAAACAGTTTTTAACGTAGAGGAACACTTAGCGAGAAGCTTGAAACTTGAATATAGTTTATATCTGACCACTTGCAACCCAGAAGCTGAATTACGGGTGCAGTGTAAGGTTGAGAACAGACGTCAGCATATCAGGCGCCTCTGGCAGCCGCTTCAGTCTATCGATCTCACCTTCCCACCTATCCCACCCCAGGGGAGGACATCCATCACACAGTAATCTCGTGTGTGGGAAATTAACGTCTCCTACCCCAACCCTACAGGAGACGGGACCTCCATTTATTCGTCCCTATCCGAGAACACTAGAATATCTAACCATTTCTTGATGTTATAGAAAGGTAGCAAATTCTTCTCAATTATTTTAAGACATTGAGTGTTGGTCCGGCCGGGGCTCAAACCCTCGACCTCCCGCACAACAGTCCAGCGCTCTATCCACCTTGCCGAAGGCAAACCAGTTGGCTATATTACAAGCGTGACCGAGGATTTGAAACTCGGGGCTACCGTGAAACAAATCCAGGTTGTGGCCAGGGCGGGACTCGAAGCTAGTTTACAGGTTTTCCACCAAACAACTGAAACAAATGATTCAAATTGAAAAGAACATTATTAAGAATCCCACCTGGCCGAAGGCAAACCAGTTGGCTATATTACAAGCATGGCCGAGGATTTTAAACTCGGGGCTACCGTGAAACAAATTCAGGTAGTGGCCAGGGCGGGACTCGAACCCGGGAGCGGCGGATCGCAAGCCCGACATGCTGACCACTCGACCACGCCGCCTTCTCATTGATTTTGCCGTTTACACGAAAGTGGACGAATCCGAAATATAAACTCCCCGGTTTGGTCGTGTCTCCGGAGATTTTGAATCCGGAATTTAAAGTGGGAACTTTGAATCCGATAACTTTTGAATCCGGCAAGTTTTGTTGTGTAACCGCTTTTTTTTCTCGAATCCGGATATTATTTTCGCCTGCAATCTTTTGAGTTTGCAGTGAAACCAAAATGGAGGATCTGGTGCTAACATTGCTAGCGGACTCCGTTTGCCTAATCTTGTTGAAGGTTCAGGCGATAAATTTTATCATATGTACCGCAGTATTTCTGAGGAAACGCAAATTATTTTTGCAAGGAAGTTTAACGTCATGATCAGCCACACTTAATCGCCGGCGACGTAGATGGCTTAGCATCTGTCCAACTCAAATTTGTCTCAGTGGCATCTGGATCTACTCTAGCCTTTTTTGGGGGAGGCATTTTCACTTTGTCGATCGAACGACGAAACAACACTGGGCTTGGTAACCATTCCATTTCGAATGTTCCCGGAGTTGTCGTTGTGTGTAAACGGTCAGGAATCCGAATATCCTTTCAGTGTAAACGCCTACGAATCCGAATACTCCAAAATTGATGAATCCGGAAACCTTTACGAATCCGGAAAGTTCTCCTCAAGTGTAAACCTAGTCTAAATTGCACGCGAAAACCGATGTCGCACGAATCGCGAAGTGGAAAAGAGAAACTCACTCAATACGAAAAAAACAAAGGTTTTATTCTTACCTGAGGTTGAGATTTCCGATGCTTCTTCTTCCCCATTTCTGTTAAGACTGCCTATAACGTCTAAGTTGTGGCGCATTCAGTCTAAATGACGAATAAAAAAAAAAACAAACTTAATTAGGCGATTCAGGGAATCCCCTCCACCGCCCTTTTGTTTTCGATCCAGCTTAAAATGTTGCGACAAATACAGCAAAAAAGGAAGAATTTGCTGTCTTGTTTTATCAACTATTGAAAGGAATGCTTAATAGGTCCGTTTCGAGGAACGTTTCAAGTTATACGACTCAAAAGTGGTTGCCAATCAATTAGGTTTGCTGAACATTTGGAAGCCCGTTTGTTTTCGTGTCGTGTGTACCAAATTTAGGATTCGGTAGAAACCCCTTCATCAAATATGCAATGTTTCGTTTTGGAATTTTGGAATATTCTAATTAGGTAGTGATAATTTTAATATTTTGTGTCCTTGAAAGTAAAAATATACAGAGTAACTTGTATTTAGCGGTCACCGAGTGGGTAAAGGCTGGTTGACCGATTACTACATGGCTTTCCGCCTGTTCTTTAATTTGTACGAAGCAATTCTTCTTCCTTGATAAAGCCATTGCGAAACAAAATTACGACACGGTTAACTCTGTCCTACACAGCCGTTAAGTTTAGACCGTTATTAGCAAGCCCCTGTACGCTTTCGTCTGAATGAATGTTTGAGTCAGCACTTGTACGAACATTTGCGGAGTAGGCGAAAAAATTGCAAATGTTCGTACATGTGCTGATTCAAACATTGATAACTTTTGAAAGGTCGAAAACATACAGGGGTTTCTGCATGTTTTTGCCTATAAACTTAACGGCTGTGTAGGATAGAGTTGTCAATCAGGTCCCAAATCCCAAAACTTAACGTCTAAATCAAGGTTATTTACGGCCATTGGCCGATAGCGATTTATAGTGGTCAGAATATGCTAAAATCCGCCTTTTCAAATAGTTCGAAAGGGAAATTCTAACTTTCTTGGCAAACTAGAAACGTTTTTAAGCAATCTGATATACATTTCCGGTGGCTTAAATGTGTGAATCAAATATTTTGCAATGTTTTAAAATATGCCTATTTTCAATTTTCGAGACTTCTACGGACTGGGGAAATAATTATGGCCCCTAGTGCAGTCAGAAAATTATTTCGAATCGAACCAAACCTATTTCAGCGCTTTCCTAAGTAAAGTCTTTCTGTTGACAGAGTTTCAGGCAAAATTATTTCTGACGCGAAATTGACCGAGTGGAAATAAGAGAGACAGCCTCGTTTAAAAATAACAATATCTCATGATGAACCCGATCTTTAGAACAGCGAACATCGCAGAAAATATATAATCTACAAGCAAAGGGGAAAGCCCACGATCCGGTGGGTTCGAGAGGAAACTATGTAAATCAAATAGTGCCGACCTTCTGTTTTCTCAGAAAAGCGGGTGGTTCTCAGAAAAAAAAGTTTGGTTACAATGAATATATGAAGTTCATATATTTTGAACTGCAGTTGTAGATACGTATGATGTACGATCCTTGCAGTAGAGAGCGCTATTTATGCAACTGCGAAAATCAGACCTGAAAAAAATCCGGCCTGTACGTGATTCGAATCCCGTACAAGCCTGATGTATAAATAGCGCTCTCTACTGCGGGGATCGTGCATCATACGTAAAAATAAGTTTGTTATTATGATAATGAAAACCTCGGTCCTAACGCTTCTGAGTGACTTGCATATTTACCAGTTCATAAAACACAGTTTCTTTTGCTTGACTCTAATCATGACAACGTGCCTGTTCAGTAATCATTTGAAAAGGCTGATTCATTCTTGCGTATTTTCATCTCACCTTATTGTTGTTTATGAAAGGAAAGCCACGGACCTAGCAGTTTATCGGAACCAAATATAGCCACGCAAAAAAGGGCTTTATGTAAATAGAGACAAATTAAGAGAAAATAATCAAAGAAGCAAGCTTCGGAGGCAGCTATGTATCACTACTTACAAAGCGCGCCGGAGCATGGACTGAGCACGCACACATAGAGGGCTTTTATTTAAGACAATGAATATCAAAGATCTCCCACAAGTGAGGCTTGTTATGCTTTCAAGTATAGAACTCATCAATGCTGACTCAGGGTAGAAGAACAGAAACTTACTCAGTATGTTGATCAGATAACACAAGAAAAGATGCTTTCTGTCTTACTTATATCGGTGTGGAAAATTTCGATGCTTCTTCACTGTTCCTGTAGAGAATCTGTTGTTCTGTAATAGCCGTTGAAGCCTTTCCAAGCAAACGAATCAAGACTGTAGCAGTTAAATGCCGCCTCTTACGTCTAAACTACAGCGCATTCAGTCTAAAGGACGAGTGAAAGTGGAATGGCCTTAAATAGCTGGATGTGACGTAATGCGTGACGAGTCGGGGAATCCCCTGCACCATACTTTTGTTTTCGATCCGTGTTAAAATATTCCATTAACATTGCGAGAATTTCGACGAAATTGGTTGAATCTACTGTTGTTTGATAAACAAATTCAAAGAAAGCTCAATAAATTCGTTTCGTAGAATGTTTCAAGGTAAAAACCTTAAAGTACGTGTTAATCAATAAGAGTTGCTGAAGATGCAGAAGCCCGTTTGTTCAAGTTGTGTCGTGTGCACCAAAAATAGAAATCGGTAAAAAACCCTTCATTTTATATGCACCGTTTTGTTTTCGAATTTTCGAATCTTCCAGTAAAGACGTATCCCTTTACGATCTTGATGTTTAATGTCATCGGAATGCATGATATCTACCAGTCTCAGTACATGATATTTATTTACTTTTTCATGAGTAAAGAAGAGTCAATCTTAAGAAGACTTTATATTTGAACATAATATATATGATCATTTGTGTATTGTACTCATGTTATCACAAAAGAATAAAATATGGCAAAAGTTTCCCGCAGAAATGTCGCTTTTTTTACATTTTTGACTAAAACGTGTACTAATCTTCAATGAAATTTTTTTGATTGGAAAAAAATTACAGGAAAGTAACTGTCTGGTATACAGGCAGATGCAAATCAGCCATTAAGTTTGCATGAGGGCACGAACTTCTTTTGTTTCGTTGTTTTGTCTATCAGAGCGTAAACAGCCTACAAATTCGGGAAAACCCCTGACAATTTGATAACAGGTGTTATGCCGTCATGAAACCATTATCTTTCGGAATAGCAAAATAAAAGCTGCGGACATTTTTCCCTTTAGGAGTTAAAAAAATCCAAGTCCCAGATGGGATTTGAGCCCACGACCTCCGTGATATAGTCGGATGCTCTAACTGAGCTACTTGAGACACTATGGAGAGCATAGACTTTTTTCCGACTATATATCAATTGTTGTTTCATCTTCACATGCTCACTTTGGAGGTTGGTTGGCCGCATCTTGATATGCTTTAATGTGACAGCGTGATACTGTTAGTGAGTTTCACACGCGCTGGTCAATACTTGGCTGTGTAGCCGCGCGATGCGGTTCCAGTACAAATTGACCCTTACTTGCTCACCATAGAATCTCTATTAGCCCAGTGGTTAGAGCATCCGACTAGTTCACGGAGGGTCGTGGGTTCAAATCCACCTGGGACATGGATTTTTTTTTCCGACTATAGATAAATGAATAGCGATAAAATAAAAGCAGTGGTAAAGAAAACAAAGAATAACCTTGACCGACCCAAGAATTCGATGTGCTCAAGTAAAAATCATACAAGTTTACAAGGATTTCAGTGATCTTTTCTATTACAGAAGCTTGGCAATATAAATCGGGATTTCGCTTCTAGTTTCTACCGCTTCGTCGGTATTAGATAAGGTGGTAAGAATTGCTTATGAAAAAATTAGGTTCGCTTCTACTTCACTATTCAAGATTCTCCTCGACCGGGCAGCCATGTTGCTAATCACTACTCCGTCAATGTCGTCTAAAATGTTAACGCCATGTATTCCAGTAATGGCGCTCTTCTTTAATGTAGTGCATGAAAGCTGTCCTCAAGTGGTATGACTCTAATCTTCCGGGGGAAGTTCGTTCTTTGTTCACAATGGTCTTGACGATTCTGAGTAGTTCTTGCCTACAACCGTGATCTCGATCCATGCATTCGAGAAGTTCTTTCTCTTTCAATGAAAGCGATTGCCGGTAGAGAAGACCTGGGCTTGAGACGAATCTCCTCCCACCGTACGACTTCAGCACGTAGTAATTATCTGACCCGATTTGAAAGCAAGGAACGAGGTCAACAGATAAGACATATTCGTATGTTTCGTTCTTAAAGATATCTACCTTTACAGCGGGTCCGTGTTGGCGCACGACCATATCCATGTCAGACCGTGGTACTCTAGCTCTAAAATCGTCTACTGCTTTGTCAATGAGACTGTATGTCCACTGGCTGCACAAACGTTTTCTGTATTGTAGCCAAAAATGATGAAAATTAACGAGGAATACCCGGTCCGATAGGTGGACAGATATTGAAATTTTACAATTCATAAATGCTGCTATATTTGCTATATTCTGCTATATTTATTGCTAGAAAACTGCATTAAATTAACCGATCGCATATTTTTAGTTGGCAAAGCGGGATGCAGGGAAATTTCTGATGAAAGAAGGGGGGAGGGAGGAGTTGAATGCATAAAAAACGGATATCATCATTTTGAATAATACAGCCTTAATGAACTGAGAGTTATTTCTTAATTCTTAATAAAGGACAATTTTGATTTGTTCGTTTTGCGAAATGATCTGTGATCTTATCGTCGCGAGAATTAACTCGATTCTAGAGAACCTTACCAACTTACGTTCTTCAAGCTGGACACGCCGCCTATGACGGGCCAAGAATGAAACTTTGAGGAATTAGACTAAAAGGATAAAGCTTTTAAATGATGTACATTTTCATTTGTAAATATATCATACCAGACCTTTTTAAAGCAGCCTTTAAAGTGACAGCTGTTCAGCGGTTCGCATTGCATTGTTGACCAAATAACCTCCCGGTTAGCTCAATGGATAGAGCGCTGGACTGTTGTGCGGGAGGTCGAGGGTTCGAGCCCCGGCCGGACCAACACTCAGGGTCTTAAAATAAGTAAGACGAATTTGCTACCTTTCAATAACTTCAAGAAATAGTTAGATATTCAAGTCTTCTCGGATAGCGACGAATAAATGGGGGTACCGTCTCCTTTAGGGCTAGGGGTAGGAGACGTTTATTTCCCACGCACGAGATTATTGTGTGATGGATGTCCTCCCCTTGGGTGGGATAGGTGGATTTACTGGGCCCGCAATAATTGGCGAAAGCTGTTGCGGTGTCCCTGCCGGTCGGCGAAGCTTAATAAATTAAAAAAAAAAAAAAATTCAAAATTGGACGCGCCGCTCATAGCGAGCCAAGATAGAGAATTAGATTAATTAAAATACAAGGATAAGCTTTATATATTGCAGACCTCTTCATAGGCCACTGAAGTTGACCTTTATTTTACCTCTGCGAATAGAAGCGAAGTACTTAAATTCAACGGGTCACTATTTAGACTTAAACGTAACAAAATAACAAGAAATTAATATTTTCCAAGAGATAAAAGGACCATTTGCCAAAATTTGAATGCGGGATTGCATCGCGTTGTAATGTACGAAGTTGCCGAAGCTGCATTATTTTTAGTTTCTTCACGGGGGAAGACAAAGGCTATCTAGGTGTAGTTTGAACTTTTCGATTTTTGGGGAAAAAAAGCGCTATAGAACCTTTTGATATAGCTTTCGAAAAAGGTTCGTTAAAGGGGTCCTTTGGAAAAAATAAAATGAATTACGAAACTTTGCAACTGTCGGCGGATTCTCGATATTTATAGTCAGTGGATCTTAAGGATTCACAGCGAAAGTACCGGCCGCTTTAGAAGACACTGCTGAAAACTGATTTTTTTTTCAATTCTCCTCTGCACTCTACAAGTGGTTCGACACTAACGGCGTCAAATCTCCCAAGATAACTTGGGAATGCTGCCGAGAAGTTCGATTTGAGAAACACAATATATTTGCCGTTGGGGTTCCCGTTCTCAAACCTGGTAAATGTATTGTACTCATGATATCACAAAATTGTAATATGGCAAAAGTTGTTTGTATTAGGAATTGACTGGTTCTAGATTCTTTGAACAATAAGAGATATAATGGCGTGCTGCTCCTTTGACCAATATAATATTTCCGTCTGGCGTTCATGGCGTTTCCAAAATTTAAAGACACTGAAACCTGTTCAACTAACTCAGCTCGACAAAAACTATGAATTGGCGTCTCTCCCACCTTGAAAGAGCGTATGCCGGAAAGTGCAATGATCCATGGCTTACTTGATCTTTTGTCGCGGCGTGCATGCAGTGCAGAACGATATAACATATGAGGGAAGGGGAGATTTTGCAATTCGATAAGTTCTGCGTGACAGCTTGATTGGAGATACGTAATGAAATAGTACTTCCGATTTTCCCAGAAAGACATTTGATTCTTAGGAAAATGAGTTTGCTTTTAATGAAAGTAATCATAAAAGCATGTTATGTCGTGGCAGGTAGTTTCGAGTATAGTCTCAAACTGCCTATTTTGCTAAATGAACAACTGGAAAAGGCTACTAACGTGGGCAGAGATAAAATTGTATTGTACGCCCTTACAACCAATCAGATTGTAGGTTTCGTCACCATGCTCTTCTAAAAGAAATAAATACATCTTATTGGACGTTTTGTTGTGTAGTATCGCTGATTATTATCCAACTACACCTAGACGAGTACAAATAACGCCATAGACGAGTACAAATATCACGCGGTATTTGTACTTGTTTATTGTAGCGTACCGGTTAAACAGGTTTTCTCGCATCGCGCAAGCGAAGAATTGGATTGTAGTTACGAAAAAAACAAAAACAAATGGAAGACAATTTGAATCATATTTCCAACAACGAAGAGTCAGAATGGCTGACAAATATAGATCAAAGTTGATTAGATGAATCGAATGAAGAAAAACAGCTTGACGACCAGAAAATTTCATCATTCAATGAAGAAAACAGAAACAGCAACACGGCAACGCGCTAATTCCATTCCGCTTCGCCTACTTCAGTCACGCTCCCCGTAAATAAATATCCGCGAAATTCGCCCGCACTGAAATAACAGTTTGGCGTGTTGGATAATAAAACAAAATATTGGTCAGGAAAGGTTATAACACAGAACGCAGGTGATTAAATTAAATCAAGAACAAAAAACAACTGAAAATGTTGGTGCAAGAAGGTACAAGGTGGATGGAGAAAAAGGAATTTTTTTAAAACTCAGTTCCTTTTCATCGCCTTGTCCAGTTTGCTCCTGATGCGTGGTACGTGCTTTCATTTTGTTTTGTTTGTCGTAATACATATCATCCGAGCGTCAACCATTTCCGGAGTGTCTGCATGGGAATTTTCCCAACATGTGAACGCTGCGTGGCAGTTGTAATCTCGACGAAAGTCAGAACAGGCGCAAATGAGAAGAGAAAATAGACATTACGTCATAGATATTTCGATCAGCCAATCAGAAAACGACGCAACGAGCTATATGTATACACGCCTTTATATTTGTGTGCCCAAACAGAATTTGAATTCACTCAATTTAATGCGAATATTTCCACTCGTTCCAAACTAAGAATCTCGAAATGGAGGTCGATGAGTTGCTTGCCGATTCGTTTAATTATTGTTCTGTGAACGAAAAATTAACAGCTGCACTTCGAAGAAGATGTGAAGAGGTTGCAATTGTAGATGATAAAGAACTGCATCGTGAGCCGAGGAAACTGGCCGAGATATTTCTCACCTTAAAGCGAAGAAGGATCATTAGTGCAACTAATGTGGATTTCCTAAAACAGGTTGCCGAAGCTGGAGAGGACTTCCATCTGAAGGAAAGAATTAATCAATTCGAAAAAGGAAAACCATGGCTTCCCGACAGAGTTTTGACCGGGTCTATGAGATCAACAAAATGGTTTAGCTGGCCAGTTGATGTTCATTATGGATCAAATGCCCTTTGTCAAGTTTTGCTGTCTTTGATGAGAGAAGGTGCAAACGTGAACGAAAGACACAAAGAAGCGCTGTACATATTTTGTGATGGACATTTCAAGCCGTCAATCGATTTTAGTCGCTATGTGGATAATCCTTTCCAGCTAATGGAAACACTCGTGAGAAAGGAAAATATATCTCCAAGAAATCTTTCGTTGTTGAAAGGATTTTTCAGTTTAGAGACTGTGCGAAATCCTGAAGCTGTAGCGATTTTAGAGTGCTTTGAAGCCATATCCTCGATCCAAGAGTTGTTGGCGAGACTCTGTGACCTTCAATCCAATTCTTTCGGCCGAAACTTTGGCTGTGATGAGCTGTTTTGCCGTCGCTGGTTGAAGCTATGCCGATCAATTCAACGACTCCTTCGCATAAGCTTCAAAGGCACGAACAGATTACAGCATATCAAGAGTTTCTTGCGATATTTTCAAGAAATAGAACCAGGAGGTTCTCGACTCAACAAATTACTAAACCATCTCATTGAAAAATCATGCATGGCTGACAAGGAAAAGCAATGGCAGCCCATTCTGAAGCTACTGGTTGTTTCAACGGAGTCTTGTCGCTTGGCGAAATCACCGCTCTTTGAAACAGCAGATGAATCGAAATTAATTGGTAGTAGCCCGGAGACGTTAATTTCCTACGCACGAGATTACTGTGTTGTGGATGTCCTCCCCTGGGGTGGGATGGGTGGGAATTGGCCCTGAAAAGCCCCCATGGGGAGCGGTCAACTTACGTATGTATGTATGTAACTGTCTTGTGCGTTTGAAATGCTGAGGTCTAAAAGAGGATTATGTGAAGACATGTTCAAGTATTTAAGTTAGATTACCTCTTTAAAATTACCCTTTTTTATGCTGCTCACTCAAAAGAAACAGATTATCAAAATTTAAATGTTTTAGATAGAACCTAAGCCTGAGGTATGGTCTTCTTCGTTAAATTAGAAAAGGTAGAAAACTGAAGAAGTGTTAAGTGTGACTGGAACACAGAGCTTTTTATGACCACTTTTTATCTGTTTACCGAAGTAATGTTGAGAAGACACTCGTCGAAAAGATTGTAAATGGCTTGCCTCCAGTTTAATTTGTTAGTGTTCTTTTAACATTCCGCGTGGAATATTACGCAGGAAAATCGATAACACGTGTTCCTCATTTACTTCACTTTCTTTCGAAAAAAAAAAATATAACGACTGACAAAAGGGATCCAGTTCAAAGGGTGCTTACTGTCTAACGGCGGGTCTGCAGTCGCCATTCATGATATTAAATATTTGGATTTTCTCATTGCGCACGCAGTCTTGCTATTGTTAGCACTAAAGAGCTATCAACTTCACTTGTAGTTTTTTTGTGCTCTGTGTTCCACTTGAAAGGTCGCAGATTGCGTTGCTAATTGGCTGTAACCATTCAGTTGAAACAAAGGCTTTTGTTTTCATACTCAAAGCAGTGTCTTGACAACGAAGACAATCAGCGGGTGACCAAACAGCATAATTCGAGTCAATAATCGCCAATTTTCGCCCGAAATTCCGGTTTCCAGTCACACTTACACTACAGACCTTCGCATGATGAAGTAAAATTCCAGAGCAATTTCGTAACAGGTAAGCTTATATAAAAATTCCATCACTCCATTACGTTGTTCTTGACCTATGTTCTGCATGAAAGCATCACCCGGCTTCGAATTTCGAAGGCAAGCAACAGTCAACTTTTGCTTTCTCAAGGCTAAGTTTTATGTTTTTGTCGATTATCTTAAGGTCTATAATCTGGTAAGTTCGAAAGCAACTTTCAGTTTACTTTCCTTAATTGAATTCGTAATGTAATTGAAGGTAGAGTTTCTTTAACTGAGATAAAGCAAATTGTGTTCGATCGCAATTATTGTATTGTGTTGTTCTGAGTGAACTTCAAACAAATTTGCTTCTCGTAAGACTACAGTGCCAAAATATGTTTAGAACTTGGCGGTAAACTTTGATTAAACTGATCATATTTCGTTTCGAACGTTGATTCTTTTTAAATAGTTACCGTATGCCGTGATACGTCTTGGCGAGGAGAGAATTCATTAATTACATGTACATGTGTCCCATTTCGCGACTGAGATTTTTATTCCAACAACTTGTCCAGCTTTGTTTACACAAAGATTTTAACTTTTATTTCCATTAAGGACGAAGGGAAGCTATAATTTATCTAATATGTCTCGAGAAATAACCAATTAAAGTTAGTTTTTGTTCGACACTGTAATATTTCCGGCTTTCGCCACGCACATAATGAAGCTGGTCAACGCAAGAAATAATTAAGATTTTTATGCCATTACTCGAAAAAAAAAAAAAGAGTTCTCCTCATGGTGAACTTTTTTTCAATCAAAGGATAACGTCGAACACGTGTGGCTCACATGGAGAATCAAAGACAGTGTTTTGTAGGCGTTTTGATGTTACGTCAAGTCTCATACCGCTTTGAGCACTGGTGTTGTGTGACAAAGCAGAAGTCACGCAATATTATGATGCGCTACCTTAGAATTTACACAATTTACTCTTTCATTTTTAGAGCAAAGCAGGACAGGCTTCGGTGAGAGATGCAAGAGAAGTTCAGAAGTTCATCATCCACTCCTACAGGGGTGAAGACTTTTCGGTTGCAACCGTCTCTTGACAATACTTCAATAATGAAGGTTAGCAATCAGTTGTCTTGAAGGCTTTTGTTAACATATAGCAGCTAGTCCGATGAGCCGTAGATTGAAGTGGTGGTCCTTATTTAGGCCTGGGCCAGGCCACTGTGTTTTAAACTTGGGCAAGACACTTTACTCGTACAGTATCTCTCTCCACTGGAGGGTTAACAGCAAGTGATACATTTCTGAGATCATTGGGATGGACTTGTGTAGAGTCTGTGTGGAGTGAGAAACAAAGCTCTTTGTTACTTCATTCTATGAGGCTCGGATAAGCTTTGTGATAATTGGGATGGACTTGTGTTGAGTCTATGTGGAGTGAGAAACAAAGCTCTTTGTTANTCGCTATGTGGATAATCCTTTCCAGCTAATGGAAACACTCGTGAGAAAGGAAAATATATCTCCAAGAAATCTTTCGTTGTTGAAAGGATTTTTCAGTTTAGAGACTGTGCGAAATCCTGAAGCTGTAGCGATTTTAGAGTGCTTTGAAGCCATATCCTCGATCCAAGAGTTGTTGGCGAGACTCTGTGACCTTCAATCCAATTCTTTCGGCCGAAACTTTGGCTGTGATGAGCTGTTTTGCCGTCGCTGGTTGAAGCTATGCCGATCAATTCAACGAGTCCTTCGCATAAGGTTCAAAGGCACGAACAGATTACAGCATATCAAGAGTTTCTTGCGATATTTTCAAGAAATAGAACCAGGAGGTTCTCGACTCAACAAATTACTAAACCATCTCATTGAAGAATCATGCATGGCTGATAAGGAAAAGCAATGGCAGCCCATTCTGAAGCTACTGGTTGTTTCAACGGAGTCTTGTCGCTTGGCGAAATCACCGCTCTTTGAAACAGCAGATGAATCGAAATTAATTGGTAGTAGCCCAGTGGGTCCAAAGATACTTCGACAAATGGTACGTACGCAGATAAATATAACTACTCTTTCAGAATGATATATCTTTAAGCTATTTCAAACGGCGATAAAATTTAATTATTTTTACTACAGTAGCCAGACGCACATACTGACATAGTTAATCAAAAATTCATCATGATATCGATTTCACCAATGTTCAAATCTCTACTCGTCTAACTCGTCTGCTCAGCGAAAATATTGATTGATTCGAAGATAAATATTGAAAGCGAAAGTCACTTCCAGTATCACTGTTTGGACAGCGACAAAAACAAAATATTAGCTCGTTCCCAGGTTCTTTAGTCCTTTAACTCCCAGACTGGAGCGATCAATATGCAACTTCTCCCAATAATATCCGTTCATTATCCAGCAAACAGGTAATGAGAATACTCAAAGTATCAGGTAGAGGTTGTCATCTTGATCTATTACCAAATTCTCGTAACTACTTAATTAGGAAACATGCAGCAGCTAGAGGAGAGAATTAACAATCAGATCTCGGGAGTTAACGGGTTAAAGGAATCAGTTTTCCTTTCTTCTGATTGGCTGTTGTGATGACCCTGTTTTGGTTTTACGAGAATCAATCGAAAAGCGCCACTTATATTAGACTTAGTTTATAATTGGATTGGTTCTCTTTTTAGGATGAATTTTACACGTTTCTTCAAGAGAAGGAAGCCGCTATCACATCAGGTGCATTCCACACAAGAACTGAAGAAACGCAAGAGATGGAAACGGTTTTGCAGAATTATATACAGGGTAAAGACCAAGATGAATATGATGACATAGAAATGCTGAACATTTTCTTTAAGGGTATCGTGCCTTTCCATTAGAAACAGTTGAGTTCATCGACGGCCTTTACGACTCGGAGACCTGTTGTTTGCTGGAGAACGAGTTTAAGGGACTGGATCCGACAAAGCTGAGACATTCCTAGATCATCATGGTAGTTCCACACCTCTCAGAACATTGCTACACCCAAGAGTTTTCACCCATTTCATGGTGGCTGAACAGGTGTCACGTGGTGTGACGCGATCTCACCTCTTCACTGTTTGAACATTCGTTACATGGTATGTTTGAATTGACAAAACTTCTCCATCAGGCGATTTCATTCAAGCGATGACTCAGAACTGACTGCCGAGTTGAATTCGTTTACTTTAGAAATCATGACGGAGATTGATACTAGTTCCAGATTTTTTTCGACAAACGAACGCAACTCGGCGGGTTTACGATCGAGTGTGACAACCAAATATCTCAACAAATACACACACACACACACACACACACACACTAGCATGCCCACACTCAAAAGCAGAAGAGGCTATGTTCCCAGTTCAATTTTCATCGCAACAATTAATTCGCCTGATGGAGATTTTTGTTAAAACCATGCACACCATGACATGAATGTTCAAGCAATGAAGAGGTGAGTTCGCCTTACACCACGTGATACCTGCTCAGCCACCATGAAGTTGGTGAAATTTCTTGGGTGTGGCCAGGTCTCCGAGTCGTGAAGTTCGTCGATGAATCTCAAAGGTTTCCAATGGGATGGTTATACTGTTTTAAGAAGAGTCTGAATTAATTTATTTCACTGGTAAAAGAATACAGGCTGACGAAACAATGTTCAGATTTTGCCTTAAAAGCCGGTTACGATAGAATGAAAACAATTCTTTGTTTCTGACGCTTGATGATAACTGATGTCATTGTGTTCTAAAGATATTTAAGCTGTTATTTAGAAAATAGTCGTAGGATATTGTAAGTTTATCTGGAAAACGTATCAATTCAGAATCCAGAATTTAATGGTATAATAGTCAACAGCCGGGCAAATGACTGATTCGCGCTTACGATGTGAAGCGTTACTAAACGTGAAGGTTATTGATGTACAGAAAGGCGATTTATTTTTGGACTTGTTGCTAACGGTAACTCCGGTCAAACTGTAAAGCAAATTGATTGATTGTGTTCTAAATATGAAATAACATTTGAAGGGTTGAAATCACAACGAAATGTTACCAATAATTCTGTCCGGCAGTCCGTACATGGGGCACTGGATAACAATAAATTTTGCAGCAGACACTTGGAATGCCTTACCCCTTTCCCTAAGAGATGTGCCCACCTTCAGCCAATTTAAGCGTGGTATCAAGAAAGCACTATTTTAATTAGTTTCGTTTTTCGCATGTTAATTTTCAAATTAATGTAGTTTTATCTTCATAATTTTCGATATGTATTTTTTTATTTTTATTCTTAAGTAATTATATTTTATGTAGTTACCTTTAGAGGACCCCTCTGTAAACCACTTTTTTGTGATGTTGGCATCCTCAATAAAGATTAACTATTATTATTATGGTTACTATTACATCTCAACGCGTTCTTTTTGCAGATGTCTTCTGTTGACTGTTAGATCAATATTAAATTTGTCTCGTCAATCATATTAAATTTGTCTCGTCAATTTAAATAAAAAGGGCTAATT